TTTCCAACCATTGGAGGACTCGTAGTTTATACTAAGCCGCTGATGGTTATTTTATGAGGTGCCGGTTCTCATGACCGAAATACACTCGGAGGGGGGGGACATTCCCTGCCGAGGGGCGACCCCTTTCAGAAAATTTAACTTAATTTTTTATTTAAATTGTAATGAAGTCAGCTAACAAAATGATTTCAAAATACGTAATTTCTAATCACCTCCGCCTTCTAAATTTTTGCAAATTTCGATTCATTTGAGGTAAATTTCGACCACTTTTTGACACAGATTGGGCAATGTCTGAGCCATAACTGGTTTTCAAGTGCTCAAGAGTTAAAGGTTTATCCCCATAAGTCTTTTGTACACCAAAAAAAAAACTTCCAGACATCACATCTCCCGATCTAGGTGGCCAATAATCATCAACGAGATAAGAGGTTACGCTGACGGGAAAATTTTTCTCGCATTAAAATCTTATTCGCTCTTCTTGGATCTTGTTAAGACCACGTATTGTCCTAGTCGGCTTTGTTCGAAAAATCGCAGCCCACCGCATGCTGTTCAAGCACCCTGTATACTATGTACGGCATTGTGAATAGTCAAATTTCAGTTGTTGTGTGAGCGGGACTTTATATATTGTAGATGTAGGTATGAATCCAAGTGTAAAATACTCCACAATATTAAAATAGAAAGTCCCAGCTTTTGAAAACGCCGAGAAATATTCGGGTCTACGGCTGTACTTTTATGTAGAGAAACTTTGAGTGAGGTGGAGCGAGCAATACGATGATTGGCAGACCCTACAGTATCCGTAACCGATTCAGTATCTTCAAATTTCTTAAACTTTACTCATTGGCACCATAAATCGCTCTTAAGCACGCAATGTAGGGACATTTTTTCCCCCTTTTCGGAAAAGGTTTCGACAATTTTAAGGCGTTTTCGGTTGTTAAGCGTGCCATATCATCTGACTTTCAGATCAAACAAAGCATGTTTAATTCGGAAGTCAAGACCGATAGATGTCAAGATAAAGCCCTCACTTAGCAAACCATGAAATTAATAAGCTAAACTGTCGAGAACTTTCCTTACATGAATGCTTTATGACTAAGTCCGAAAAATACATAAGTATTGCGAATTTTCAGGTTCACCTTTCCCAACTCGCACCAATGAACAGTCAAAAGTGTGAGTAAATATAAAAGTAACTAAACTAAACTCTTGAGCAAGCTGTCCAATAGAATGCGATCTTTTTTTAACTTTATTTTTTTATCTGTTTTTTTTTTTTAGTCCATGGTTCCATCGCAGCTTTTTCCTATTTTTTACTATTTTTTACGCCGAATTTTGCAAAGTTTTCCCGACTTGCTTTTGTTACTTTCGATACGTTTATTTTTTGCATTTGTCTATGCATTTGTATGTTGTTTATTTGGCTTGAATGAACCAAAAACAACAATAGCAACAAACACACGCCTATGACAATGCAATGCCCTCTCGAATGCCATTGGAACGAGCTTTTCACTTTAGTTTGGACGTTAATGCTAGAATTTGCTGTTGCTGCTGCTGCTGTAGAGCGTCGAGTGGGCTCACTTGCGGCGCTGTGGCATGCCATGGCTAGATTGCTGTTGTTATTCGGTTGGCTGGTTGTTTAGCAGCTTTAGCTCATAATTCAGCTTAAATTATAATCGTGATTAATTTCCCACAGCAAACGAGCGTTACCACCGCGCTCCGCCTTGGCCACGGACCGTTTCCGTTACCATTGCCAATGGTGCTGCTGCTGCTGCGGATGCTGATGCTAATGCTAATGCTGAAGCTGGAACTCGTGGCGCTCGTGTTGGTGGTGGACTTTATTTTGCTTGCCGCAGCTGCTGTCACATAACTGGACGTAATTTACGGAGGCTTATTTGTTGCAATGATAACCAGAAAACTAAAATAACAACAACAATTTTCGCTATAAAAGCATTTGCTATAACAAATATGTACTTCTGCTCCCAACACTTTATGGCAATGCGAGTATTTTCGGCAGCGCCAGTGTTTCAATGTTTGCTGTTGTTGTTATTGCTTCTGCGTTCATTTGCAGAAATTAAATTTCGTTAAAAAATAATACGCATTTGGTTTGAACTTTTAAATATGATAAAATTGCGCTATTTAATATTTAAGCCAAATTTTTTTGGTTTTCCTGTTTCATAATTTTTGGCGTGAAGTTTAATCGTGTGTGAATACTGAATTATTTAGTATTAGTTTGCCCACAATAATTAAGTGTTATTTTCGCGCATAACGTGCTTTTATTAATTTACCAAACATTTTTTGAAATATAAAGACCAAAAAAAATAATTCTTTCAAATTAGTTATTATATTTGGTGTTGGAAAGGAAGTGTTAGTGCTGAAGAGTGATAAAAATCTATAATTAAGTTCAAACCTACGGAATATATTAAATTCTCTATAATATTAATTATCTACCAACGATTTGGTATATTGGTTGAGTTATTATACCTCTCTTGTGCATGAAATGAAGTATTAATTTTGATCAGAATTGTTTAAGTGCCAGAAAGGGAAGAGACCAGAGATGCTCAACAAACGCAAGGATATCATTTCGTTTCGAAAACGAAATGGGTTTGCCTCGTTTCGGCACCATGCCACGAAACGAAATGAAATCGTTAACGCTGAAACTGCACAGGCTTATCGCTAACATTTTGGAGGAGATAGACCCATCAAATTGTATACCAAACTGGATTTTCAGTGAAACGAGTTGATTTGATTTAACCATATTCATCTGTCCGTCTAATTGTACACAAACTAGTCTCTCGGTTTTTGAGATATTTCGACCAAACTTGGTACAGAGTTGCACAGGTATATTTAAACGATCACTGATCGGAACCGACAACGAACTGGGGAGTTCAGCAATCCCCAGCTTATATGGAGCATTTCGCAACTCCTCTAAAAGCACGATTCGCATTTGCTCAAAAGAACTGCAACGAAGTTAAGCAGAAGGCAATCGAGGTACGTCCGGATAAATTCTTCTCATGAAGTTCTTAATACCATTTGTTTTTATGTTGTTGTGGTCATAAGTTACCGAAGAGTAGCCGAAGTATATCGGAGTTAAATCAACAAACCGCTATTGTGTTTTTATTGACCTCAAGTCGCAAACAAGTTTCGATTAAAAAAATTTAAAGAAAACCATTAAAATATAAATATTATTGTTGTTCTTCCTTAAGACTACATAAATTTTAAAAATTAAGTTCTCCAGTGCAGTGGATACTACCATCCTACAAAGGTCTGGCTTCGAGTCCTTGTCCGGTGTACACAAAAATGTAGAAAATAAATTTTCCCTCAAAAATCGTTCGTGCGGAGGCGACTAGGAATAAACTTTAGGTTCTCAGCATTTATTGAAAAAACAATAAGGAGTAGCTCGACCGAAAATCACTTCAAGAAAGATGCAAATTTGTTGTAAAAAAGTAATATTAAAATGGCCATTGTTTCTTCTTTCAAATCTCCACTCGCAATAATAAGAGTGGAATTGGGCGTATGCACGAGATGTGTCGCTTCGACTGCAATATCCGCGAGTACCCTCGTATAAGGCGGTCCCTTCAGAGGCCAAATACTGGGACACGCTAAGGACGGTGTGGTACGGCGCATTGCCGTGATGAAGGATCCAGTGCTCACTCGTTTTCGCAATCTTTCGAGTACTTGGCAAAAGTAGACTTGATTTATGGTTTGCCCCGGTGGGAGAAATTATTTTTAGACGATTTCACGGCTATCAAAAAAGGTAATAATCGTCGTCTTCGTGACGAGCACTACGAACACACCTTTAGTCAACACAACACAGCAGGCGAACTAAACAAGCTTAAGCGATATCAAATATATCAATGGAGAGGAGAAAGATGCCTTGAGATAGGAGGGGCAATTTCAAGGACGCAGGATTACAACAATCGCGACAATATAATCAGTCTCATTACTAAATTGTCACAACTCGTGTTTTAAGAAAACTTCTGTCTTGATTCTGTTGGCCAATCGTACGGCCGTCGAAAAAAGGAAGATACTAATTTACGATATACTTCACAGAAAGAAACATCAAAAACAATATTTTATTGAAGCTCAGGAGGATGTGTGACACCGTTAATTGACAATTAAAAAATTTAATTATCATCTTTAATCTATTAATTATATGGAATATACATAGTTACAGCGCTTTCGATATACGAACACAGATTTCTTAGACTAATACAAATCATATCATTCTAGTAAATTTTTAATTGTCTAAAAACTGTTCATACAGCCATTCAATTAGTTCATTGAGAGTATTTCGGCAATTACCACTATTAAATACAACAAAATTTTACTCAAAAAACCAAACAATTAACTTTGTATTAACAGCTAATTATTAGAAAAAGATCATGAATTGATGCATGTTACCTTTGAAGTATGTTTAGAGACAAGAATCGTAGTAGTTGTTCTGTCAGAGATCAAATATCATGAAAACAAGTTATCAGAAAAAAGTAGAACGAATACATATGCAGGTATATATATAAGGTGGGGAAAATGGTGGCGAGTAGGTAGGTTGCAAAAAATAGTCAATTTAAAAATATTTTTAAGATTAATTTCTGTTGAAAATTATTTATAACTTACACACAACAGAATCGAAGCACAATAGACAGGTATAGACAACAACATTACGAATCAGCAGGCGAACACAAATTGAGTAAACTTAATAGAATATGTGTGAATACCAGTGTCACGGTGATATTTGAAGCACAAGTTCATATTAAATTTCTAAAATTAGATCCTCGCTTAGCGCTTACTACTTATTATTATTATTATTGATCAAAACTATTAGAAAAAAGAATTATCAATGCCATAAAAATTTATTCTGCCTTCTTCATTGAAGTCACCTTTAAAAATTACTTGTACTTCTGAAATTCTTATCATCACTCTTTATGCCTCAAACTACTGCCTTGCGAAATAAAATCAATAAGAATTTAGTTTCAAGTACTTAAACGTATTTGGTAGCAGACTAATAATGCGCCAACACTTACCGTTACCAGCAGCCAAGAGCAACAGCAATCCGCACGTAATTAAGCACTGAGTAAAATTGCTAATCCCATTGCCACATTTCGAGCTGAGACCAACACACCTCCACATTTGTCCCTGGCTACGCGACGAGCAACGGTTGTGTAAGTCAACTGACATCTTCACTTCACGCGCGTCGCACTTGCAACAATTTAGCGATTGCGACTGCGACTGCGACTGTGACGACACCGACGTTAACGCGGAAGCCGCAACGGAGGCGTACGACGACATGAAGCCACCAAGGGCTGGGCTAAGAGGCAATTTCATTGACCGCAAATTACAAGCAAACATTCGGTTGTACGTTTTTATAACCACAATACACACACACACACGCGCGCGCGCATACACTGAGACGTGTAAGTGCAAGTAAGTTGTAGAAGCTGTGAGGAAAGTCAAATTGTTGTTCCGTTGCCTTAACGCGGAAAATGAATTGAATGGATTAAGCGGCGTGTAAGCGTATGTTATTATATTTATGTGTGTGTATATGTATATTTCTGTATTGCCAATTGCGGCTTAAGCTAATGCGAGCACGTTTCACCGCAATCTTGCCACAGGCCGCTGCGGTTCGAGTACGCACCACTGACAAATACAACTATTATTGTAGATATACATATACATATGTTTTGTTTCTGTTTTTGTTTTTGTTGTTGCTGTTTTTTCTTCGTTTATATTTATGCTTTTTATCACACTTGCCACACGCGCTCACTAGGCGAATTATTAGTTTTTCTTTTTGTTCGCACACACGCACTACTTACTTCGTTAGTATTTGTGGCACGTCTAATGCGTCTAATAAATGATCGAGTCTCGTGGGCGTTGCGGGTAACGCGGTGAGTATTTATTGCAACACGTTTGCGTTTATCTGTCGGCGGCAAAATTGAAAAATCACAAATTGATATTTTATGACAGACGCGCAGCAGGCGGTACGCAGACGCGTTTGTAGAAGCAGCAGTTGGAGACGCTGGCAGCAAGCGAAAAAATGTACTTGCTGTAGGTTAGAATAGTTTTTCTTTGATTTTCACTTTCTGTGTAGATATTCGCACTCTAGGTTGTCTAGGTTCTTTCGCCTTCCTTTTTTGTTTGCGTCTTACTTCGAATGAGCGGATATACACACTTTGTGGACACTAACAGAAGAAGAAGGAATTCCTTTTGTTTTTTTTTTTTGTTTGTTTTTTCACTTCACCACTTTTGTTGTGTGTTATGCATATGTATTACCAGCAATTATATTTTGAATAATTTTCTAAGACATTTCTGTTTAATTTAACACTTCTGTGGCATGCAACAACAGCTCTCAACAGCCATTGCCGTTACATTTAATTTGCAAAATATAAAATGTCTGTTGCACACAAGCACTCTTCACTGTTCATACACTTATACATATAAATATTTAAGTGTGTATGTCTATTTGTCCGATCACCACTAAAGCACTGCCCTCCGCTAATAATTACAGCGTGCGTGCGGCGGATGCGTGTTTTATTTGAATTATGTGGTCTTGCGTTATGGCTGGCAGCTGATTATGGTTCTGTGGTAAGCATACAACTAATAAATGCAACTCTCATACGTTTGTGTGTATGGCTGTGTGTATGCTGACAGATGCACTGCATCCGCTGCCCTGCTTTACTGTGTTATTCGGTTTTTGTACTAATAATTGCCGATGATGATGATTTTCGTATGTAATTTATGTAATTATATAGCACGTTTGTTGTTGTTGTTGGCCAATTCGTTTATGTTGTTGTTGTTAGTGGCACTGTTGTCTATTGCATGCGCATACAAACTAATTAGTTTAAATCTGCGGCCACGTCGCGCACATTATTAATAATTTCCTGCCGCAAAACACTTTCAATATTTCGCTATGTCTTGTATTTTATGTATTTTTGTAAGCTTATAAGGACGTTGCGCATCATCACTGCACGAGTCAAAGCTTATTTAATTGTTTTTCTTTATAGAGGCAATTAGTATAGATTTTAAAATCTGCAAAAAAAATTATTTTGCGAAAACATTTAATCATGTAAATATATAAAAATAAGCGGATTTTCAACAACAATATTAGTATAACTAGATTTAAAATAAATTTATTTCATTTTGTTAGGCTTTACTATATTGTATGAGTTTTAAGGTAATTTAATTTAATTTATTTTATTTTATTTTATTTTATTTTATTTAATTTTATTTAATTTTATTTTATTTTATTTTATTTTATTTTATTTTATTTTATTTTATTTTATTTTATTTAATTTTATTTCAATTTATATTATTTTATTTTGTTTCTTTTTTTTTCATTTATTTTACTTTAATTTATGTAAGTAGTGTCCGAAGGATTTGCTGACTAACTTCGTTTCTAAAATAAATTATTGTCTTCGCTTAAAAATATTTTACACACTCAAACTTTCATTGTTTTAGCTCATTTCACACACTCTGCTCAGCTGTCAATTTCTGACCACTCCTCCATTATTTCAAAATAATATCGCATAGCTTTGGTAGTGTTGTGCTCAATTTTTGTTTGAAAACAGATGTTCGTTGTCTGTGTGCTGCTTGTTTGCACTATTATATTTTTACGGTTTTGTATTTTTTCTTTTTACATTAAAGCAAACTGCCCTTTTCTTTTTGCTTTTGTTGTTCTATTTGTTTTATTGCCAATTCGTTTACTTTCTCAGTGCAATGATTTTTGTTTTTGATGATTTTTTGTATTATTGTTTTATTTTCTCATCGAAAGTAATTGTCTACTCAAATTTCATCAAAGTTGTCCCTTAGTTGTTTGTTTGCTAGTTCAATGGTTCATTTATCAATCATATTCGATGAGGTACGACAAACTGAAATTGAGATAGAAATAAAGGGAAATATAGGTTACTATTCATTTTTTTTGTTGGTAAATTAGAGATATTTAGGGAGAATAAAATACAACTTCATAAATATTTTTGGCTTTGCAAATATTTTTCTAAGTATTAGAGTTTCGGTTTAATAGTTTTTTTTTTTTAACTTTTGTTTAGGGAAAGTATTATATAAGCACCACCTCAGCCTGAAGATAGCCAACTGGTGTGCCAATAAAGATCATACAAAAGTAATATAATAGTAATAACTTTGTTTAATGAAGACCCACTCCTTATATAGTGCAGATTTCTCCTCAAAACTTTTAATCTTTGTGCGTTTCTTCTCTTTAAATAATCAAATAATCCTTATATTTAACCACCTGTTCGACATTTATTTGCGAATATCAAAGTCTATGACATCACAAAAATATTTTTAACTGTCATCCTAATTGTAGGCAACTCTTTATGTATACGTCTATGTACATATAATCAAAAATCAGCGCTGACTAAGTCAATCACAGTGGTTTGTATTTATTTAGCACTTTTTATAATTCCAGCTCGCGCTTTTTCTTCCATTTCAAATTTGTAATGATTTATGCTGTTTAATATTTTAAAGCAATTTTTGCACATGTGCCTTACGACATTCTCACTCTTTACATTCATGCTCACGTACACATTTATGTCATTAATAAATAATCGGCGAATTTTTATAAAAGCAGTTTTTTGCTAAAAAAATGAACTGAATGTCACACAGAAATATTTCTTAATTGGTAATTAAAGTTCCACGAATTAATAAATTCCTGAAATTCAAACAACACAGAAAATAAGCGCTATAAGCAAGTGAGACACCCGCATTTCGTAACGCGCACTCAATATGTCGAAAACGACTGAATATGTACACATACATGCAGCAGACAGGGCCGATTTGTGTGGTTAAACAGCGAGTTTGCAAAAAAAAAAATAAATCGGCGAAACCATAAATGCAAGTGCACGAGCTCAAAACAACCCTAAGCCTTTGTGAATGGCGAAAAACAAACAAACGCGTTTATTGATAAACTAAAAAACTCATTTGATTGCCACGAATCGCACAGTGCGCAACAAAGTGTGAGAGTGTATCTCGAAGTTTAGGAAATAAGAACGATAACTAGGGGCAGACAAGATCTATAGATACTCGTACATATTTTGAAAGAAGATACCCTCAGTTTCAAAATTTTCGTCTACCACTGTGGCACCCACCTGAGCTAATTTCTTCACGTGAAATATTATAATTTGAGTGAGAGTCAGAGTCTTCGAAAAGGCTTGCTAACACGCATTTTTGCTGAGGGAAACTGTTTTCTGAATTTGCTGCAATGTCAAAGGGTCATGTGAGGTTGTAGTGGCGATCGCATCTATTACAGTTAGGCCTGACTCATGGTGACACCTTTTTGATTATCTAATGAACCTAATTAGATCCATGACTTTGACTTCGGCTATCTTCAATTCACTATTCAGTAGCAGGATTCGAAACCTAGTCTTGTGCAAAATTAAAAAAAAATTAGCTTAAGAAAAAATTAAGCTAAATTTTCTAATTGGTTGGCGGTCGCTCCTCGGTAGGGAATTTCAACCCCTACGATTGTATTTCTGAGATGACATAAAGCTCCTCATAAAAACCATTAGTCGTTCGAAGGCTATTTAGTATAAATTATAGGTCCCTCCATTTGTTGAAAAAACATCTAGACCTAAAACCGCAAATTGGAAGAGGAGCTCTGCCGAAAATCACTTCAGCGGTTACAAAATGCCAATTATAGTCTTGACTAAACCAGGGCAGTCGCATAAGCGATGGATGATCATTTGTCCCTTCTCATCACCCTTGCACCTCCTACAGCATCTTTTCTTCGCGTATCATTCTTTCAGCCAGTGGCGTGCCAGTATCCTCACTACTATGAAAATGTCCCCTATTTTCAAAGAGTGCATAAAAAATGACCACCTCTAGTCCCTTTTCAACCAGATTTGCTGGGATTTGCGCCAGGTTGCGGTTTGCCCATGTCTTCTTTGTTACGTCGAATCTACTTGATCGTCCATCAAGTTCAACCGATTTGCAGTTTCCCTCGAAGTCCATGTGATCAGTGACCCCAGAGACAGTTTGTTCTCTCTGCAAAAGCCTAGTAAAATTTTTGAAAGAGCCCAGTGCTTGTTTTGCACATAAAGTTCCATGGGACGGTTTCCTGAGAAGACAGCTCCATCATTTCTCTCCTCAAGCTTTGATCCACCCATGTATATTTCCAGGCTGTCATCTGTAGTGTAGTAATCCATCCATTCTTCCCTGCTGGGTTTTCTTCTGAATTCTGAAGCTAATATAATTGGACCGCAACGATCTGCAAATCTTAGTATGATATCGAAATCAACCAATATATTCCAGTGCCCCAATTACCGATGGATCCATCTCCGAAACAAAATGCAGTTATTGCTGCCGACTTATGTGTCACCAGGTGGCCACGGTAACCGAGTGGTTAGCGTTGCGGTTGCATACTTCCATTCGGAAAGCTCGGGTTCAAATTCCCGTGCGACAAACATACATTTAGAGCCTCACATGACATGCTCCTCAGTACACCACTTAGACACACACATTAAAGCAGAGCTTTGAATTTTATCTAAGAAACTAGCATTGGAGGTGGCAGTAGCAACCAGGTATCTTTACCTTTCCAGTTTACCCTTATGTCTATCATGACTGCCAGAAATTTAAACTTCGTACCCAAGCAAACTTGAACACCGGACGATGTTAGTGGGTTGGTAGCGATGATTTTATATCTCCTCATAAATAGCACTAGTTCTTCTTGGTTTGAGTTGACGTGGAGACCAGGAATGTTCCCTGCATAAAGTCATATAGGGTTTATATAAACTTGCTCCTTTATACTATATTAATACCATCCGCGTAGGCAATGGCCGTTTGCATTAACAACAAAATTAAAATGGGCTCTTCTCAATTTCTAAAAGAATTTGTTCCGAAAAAATATGATATTCTCTATTTGGTCACTATTTTAAGAAGAGAACTCCTTTCCAATATAACTTAAACAATTTTTATTTTTATTCTTTTCGAGCGCTGCCAAACAATTAATTCAACAGTTTCCAAATTAATCGATTCAAAGTCCAGTTCCAGACAATTTTTCGTGGTTTAAGATTTAAACTTCTCTGGTCCTTCGAAATATTTTGTATCCAGCCGCAGAGCTCGTAATGCTGTATAGATTCAGTTTTCGAATTGAGCAACTGTCTTCGATTTATTGCTATAAGCCTTTTCTATCGCTCTTTCTTCAGAACGGTGCTTTCTGTCATGTCTTCTAAAAATATCGCATTGACCAATTTGGATATAAAAAGATGTTTGTGTCGTGGATTAAGTCAAAG